TTTTTTGAAAAAGCAAAGATTTGTAATCTATTTCATATCAACCAAATACATGATTACTGGGGAACAACTGAGACAAGGAGTCACACCGTTTTTAAATGAAATAGCAGATTGTTCTGTGGAACAGCTATGAACTTTTGTTAGGTACTTGTTATTTCTTATTTCAAAGCGATGTTTTGTTTCCAAGGGAAGAAAAGTATTTAAAAACAACTTTTTGCTAAGTTTTTAATTGTATTTGATTTTTTAAAGAAAATTTACACATATTTAATCAAAATTGCGGTCTCTGGAAATCCATTTTTTTGATAATTTTGTTACACCTCTATAAGTACTACCGCTATAAATAAAGATGTAAATATAAAAAAAAAATATTTGGTTTATGTTAATTAATGTTTTTAAATGTAGTTCTAATTTACTTCCTTTAATTTTTATATTTTTGTTTACCAAATTTATATTGTTAATTTCAGACACATGAAAGTAAACAAAGAAAATCAACCATCAGATTTACCTGATACGGTTCAGGATGATGAAGAGTCGAATATTTTAATAAAAGTATGTATATTTTAAAGTGACTATGAGAAAACACAGTCACATGTTTAATTTAATACGTAATTATATTTGCAGTCAAATGACGAAAATGCAACTAGTGCAGCTTCTAAACGATCCTGGGAAACTATTTTAGACGTGCCATCTTGCAGTCATGTAAGTGCTCTTTTAATTTACACAATTAGCCATTAACAAGTTTTTAAATTTTTATAATAAATATGTATGTAGTCAATAAGGTATTCATCTATGGGCTTCTGTTTACTTAATTAACGTCATGTAATGTAAATATTGCCTGAAATAAATGATTATTATTATTATTATAAAATTGCTATCTTAATGTGTAATAAATATATTGTAATTCAGTGTTGGAAAATCAGATTTTTGTGTCTTTTCAGAAATCTTGGCCGCTGCGTGACGCTACAACAGAAAATGTAAATGTTCCTGTTTGTAAAAAATAAACACGGTCTTTACTTCGTAACATTTTGGAAACGGAAAAAGAAAATATGAACATCGATGATCTTATAACATCCGAAATAGTATTTCTTCAGCATGGTTTGTTAATCTATTAAATTTTTAACCACATATTATGTCTAAATGTTTTCAGTGTTTCAGTTTTTTAAAGTTCAATTGTGATTTTAGTTCTGACTATAGCATTTTCACAACTAAGTAGTCCATTATAAAAATATTCGTTGTAAGAGCTTTTAACTCTTTTAGATCATGGACAAAAGCACTTCCCCCATTCAAACCTTTTGTGCTTATAAGTGTGCAAGCAAGGATTAAATTATCACGAGAAAAAGAGCTAATGATAAGAAACAAATCATTAGTTTAAAAAGTATTTCGTCTCAACAAAACTGTTACTAATTTGAAATCTTTAATAAAATAAATTCCTGCAGTAGTATATTATTATTGATTAACCTATTATGTAATTGATTAACAAATACCAATAAATGAATTACTAGCGTCATTTAAAATAAAATTTCTTCCATGGCCAAGATAAGAAAAAGTGCGACGAAGATGGATATTATTCCATCTAGCTTCCTTATAGCCGTTAAGGCCGTAATCTACGTCAGAAGGGGTCGTGATGGAAACATATTACACTTTTTGTCGCCTAGCCCCCATCCGCCAAATCCGTACCGTATAAAGAACTTCGTTCCAAAAATTGTAAAATCATATTCAGAGAATAGTGACATAGAAAATATTATTTTAGGAAATTTTGCCAATATATGTAAAAAGAAATTAAAAAATCTAAAAAACCACGAGGTGTAAGGTATAGCGATGAAGTGAATTGCTTCGCTTTAAAACCACTTGCAGGCTTTGGAATCACAAAACACCCATACGGATTATCAGAAAACTATTATTTTTTATATTACCAGTTATATAATAAAAAATATTGTCAAACAGCTGAAATGTAACGATTGTAAAAATTGCTAATTGCTGCAGATCATTTACAAACTGATCATTTATACGTTTTGAATGTAAATAAATACATCAATTTACCTCCATCTACAACATTTGTAAATAGAGGAAAATTGCTTATTCCATCCGCAGAGGTGTACAAAATTGTCCATTTTGCGGATAAAATATTTAAAAGGGCATCAAATAGTCTTAAACTTTAGGTCCATAAAATTTTTTAGATGCGTTCTGAGACGCATGGTCAAAAAAGAGTTTGAAATTCACAGCTACCACTTACCATCAGGTGAACTGTGTGCTCGTTTGTCACCTTATCCTATAAAAAGATAATTTTAAAATTCTAGATTAATGAAATTCAAACCAATTAATACTGTCATCCATGGGGTGATTTTTTTTCTTTGCTTTTCTTTTGCTCGCTTTTCATCCTTATTCTATAAAAAAATCTATAAATATTTCGTGATATTATAGATCAATAAATCTATTAATTTTTTTACAATTACAGTTAAGTTTAGAGATTGTGCACTATAAAATAAGACATTATAGATTTGTAAGTATATATGTATTTATATTAGATAATTAGTGTTCGTATAAGCTAAATGCCTAAGTTGTACAGTATGTATGAAAAATTCTAGAGGAAATAATACAATAGCCAGACAGTGGTACAGTTAGTGTTAGTGGTAGTAGTGCTGGTGATGTTGATGGTTGACGGTGGTGCTGTACGTGCTGGTAATGGTGTCAGTTATTGTGGTGGTGCTGGTAGTATCATTGATGGTGCTGGTGGACAGTGGACCGCCACTGACACTACACACCAGCATCACAGTGAAATCAGTGGTAAAGTAAAAAATGACTTTCAATAAGAATTAGACATGTGATCTATATTGAATAAAAAATTATTCTATTCTATTCTATCACCACCACAACCCTTACTACCGCCACCATCATCCTGGTAGTAACGTTGGTGGCGGTGGTGTATCACCACCAACACCGCCACTGCCCACTACCATCATCACAGTTATTACCAATACTATCTGATTTTTAGTACTCATGCATACGTTGTCTTACGAAAATGATATTGATAGAAATATAGATATGTATAAGTAATGTTGTTGTATATATATATATATATATATATATATATATATATATATATATATATATATATATATATATATATATAGTTGTTTTGTTGTATATGTAGTTTCAAGCTAAGCATGAAAATAAGCAAAATATACAATTTTTGCAGTTTCAATTTTAATTAAAAATAACAGACATGTTATGAACGCACATGTTATTTTATACAATATAATATTTTTATTTTTTCCTTAAAATGTTTACTTGCATCAGGTGATACAGGTGACCATATCAGAATAGGTATAGATTTTCGACGTTGTTAGAAAGCTTCCCCTCTGGTCTTCTTTACTTTGTGCTCCTACTGAGTATATCGCTATAATTATATTATTCTTTATGAAAATCGAGTGTCTCTGTAATTTTTTTCTTTCTTCATAGTTATTTGATTTTAACATATAGATATTGAATTTTAACATATGATGATTGGTCAGATTTGCCGTAGTTGTAGAAGTGACATATGTTATTTGATTTTTTTTCTTTTCAGTTAACTTGTTTGGTTTTGTTATTTATTACTGATTTAACCATTGAACTTGTTTACGCAACTTTTGTTTAATAAATTATTTGATGTTGATGTTTGATGACTTTTTTACACAGAAAAATATTTTTTTCAAATAATAAAACTACCCCTTCCCTATCCTTACAGTTTCCTTCCACTGCTGGCCATGGACCATGGAAATAAAAGGGAGCACAAAATTCTACTGCCACAAATATCACCCACATTTGCAACACTGCCCTAAACATCACACGGAGCATCCGCATTCCACCGAGATTAAATTTAGTAAAAATGACCGTCTGTTTTTCCTCCCAAATTTTTTTCTTATCACTGTTACAACAAACTCCTTTAAAGCCTATAGAAACCCCCGTTGAACATAGACCTCCACTATATGCCTCATATTTGTCATAGTTGGCACGCTTGGCAAGCAGATTCGCAACCACAGATTTTTATTTTTAGTTGTTATTAGGAAGACGCTGCTGCCCATCCGATTTATTTCCCTCTGTCGCCTCTAGACATGAGTGATAAATAACATCACGGTGAAAAAATTCCAAAAAAACATTGTTCCTTCGCGCCGCCACCGTACTATTTTCTCCGTTACTCCTGTCACTGATTTAACCAAACAAAATTAACTACGTCTCTACAAGGTAATTGATGATTTTTCAAAATATTTCATTTATCGACAAATCGTCTTGAATCGTCGTTACTCTAGCGCTCACTTGACCTTTATACAAATAATTCGATATTTAATTGATTTATATAATTTGATATTTTAGTTGATAATTATTTTTATTTTTGGATAAGAACATAGTAATAACTCTAAGTTATATTTACCATCATTAAAAAAATGTTTTTGGCCCGACCTACTATACTCTGGCTTGACCATAGTTCTGACTAAGTTTGTCCGTTTGTCCAATAAAATGTCAAGGCCTGAGAGGTTAAAAGTGATAGATTTTGTGAATTAGATATCTACACGTGTGAACTAATAGTGAAAACGATGTAGCAAGTGTTATGATAGTGACATTAACCTTAGGTATTTTATCCGCCGAGATCTAGATGTTATGTATAACACCTAGTGGTTATATCAAATAAGGCTGTATGGTATAAGACCTTTGCCTACTTTTATTGGCGAATCGTAACATCGGGCAACAATATTTATGTTTATTTTATCGTACCCACAACCACAAATTATAAAGTTGTAATGATCGCAAATGATCGTACCAATTACCAACAACAAAGAAAGATTTTGGTTGAATTCAAATTCTCCGCTACTGTGATTCAGATAAATTTAAAACTATCACGGAATTCATACATTTGTTTAACTAATATTACTTGTTACATTTAATTGAAATAATCAAGCAAAGTCCTTTTGCTAGAGTTGTACTACACGATTTTGTCGTCAATACTTAACAATTAGGTATTAAAAAATATGGTCATCAAATGGCGATTCCGATGCAGGGGAGCTTTTCACAGAATAAAGTAAGCTATATATTAACTTCTATATTCTTGCTCTTCATTTATGTTGCCGTCAGATCTGTTTTGTTTAAAATACTCCTCCGTACAGTATGTGTCATAGTAGCTAACCTAGTTAGCAGTTTAAAAATCTAGTTACTAGGAATTTCTCCTGTATCGTCGAGGTGTTTTGAATGAATTTCACTTAAATAAACATCCAGAACCAGGTTAATATTTATATAAAAATTAAATATTTATATATAAATCTTCGCTATCTTAGGTCAAAGAAATCGAACCTTCAATATATTATAATTAAATAGTAATAATTTATCACTTTATCTATTAAACAAAATATATTATTTATAACTACAATAATTAATAGAATAAACAAAAATACAAGAATTAGCCATTTCTTTAGTGTTCTCATCTGATTGGGATGCTTAAGTATTCATAAATATACATTACAAACATAAATAAAGTAAATAAATAATATACATAATTCCTCAAATGGGGACACAAACTGTTTTGGTGTTTACATTTTCAAAGATAAATATAACAGTTAATCATGTATTTATCTCGATGTAACTTTGTATTGGTTTCTTGATAAGCAAAGAGAGCTTGCAAGCTCTCATTTAATACTAGCAAGAGGGGAAAAACCTACAAAGGCAGTCAAAGGTCATTTCACCTATCACTGTCACCTAGTCTAATTATGCATATATCTTTTTTTAATATTATCCTAAGCCACAGCTTAACTAAAATCCCACTTAATGGTAAGAGGTGATGTAGCCTAAGATGGTGAAGTGCACTGACTGAGTTAGTTAACAACGGGCTGTTTTCCACAACTCCATGTCTAAGCGCATTTTTTGTATGTGGACAACTTCATGGAGTGATCCCAGCGTGCCAAGATGTTTAGCCCTGTATGCAGCGACCTCCGGACATGCCGGCAACATGTGGGCCGCCGTTTCTTTTTCCCCCCATATATGCCCTGCAGAGGGGACTATCTGTAACACCTATCGTAAATAAATGTTTGTAAAGGAGCCATGTCCTGTGATAGCATTTGTTAGTATCCTGATCTGCGGCTTGTCTTGTTCAGTCTCATTAAAGTTTGAGTCTGCAAAATTTTTCCAGAACTGAGCTTGTTGATTAGTGAAGTGTCTACATACCAGTGAACGAATATTACCAAAGGGTATTGGTATGATTGGTTCCGGCCCTATAGTGGCCAGAGGCGATCCTCATCTGGCCAGTTCATCTGCTGCATCATTGTCTCTGGATCGACTGTGTGCCTTTATCCATTGCAGAGTCACATTGTTATGTTTACATACCTCATTTAATTGTTGACGGGTTTCATATATTAGTCCGAAGTTCAACCACATCGCAACTTGGAGCTTGTAGTACCGCTAGTATTCAGATGGAGAAGTCTTTAACCTTCCTAGCATTTATTGTTATGGCCGCTTGAATGATACCCATACATTCTGCCTGAAAGACTGTGTTGTGGGTACCCAGCGGTGTGCATATGTGGATATTGATTTCTTCAGAGAAAGTTCCCAAACCTTCATTTGTTTTCGAACCATCGGTGAAAACTCTAAGCTCTTTTGGGCTTAATCCTTCCGGCTGGCTGGATTAATGTAATTGTATCTTGTACTTCTTATCAAATACAAATTGTTTAGGGATCTTATTTTACTTGGCTTGTAAGATAGGAATTTTTGAGTAAATTCTATCAATTATGTCTGTATGAGGGACTCTTACTCTTACTCCACAGATATAGGGTTTTGAGTGTAATGGCAGTTAAAGTTCCTTCTTGTTGTATGTGAAGATAGCTCCTATTCCTTTACGACTGCTGTTGGTGTAGTCCTTATGCTGCCTGTGGCAGCCATACATGCCAGTTTCTGCTAACGCTGAAGCTTCTTTATAGTTTTGGCTTCATTTGTTTTGGTCCACCATACCAAAGTGCAGTATGTGATCATGGGTCAAATTACAGTTTTGTACAGCCACAGTATAAGTTTTGGTGTCAGACCCCATCTTTTGCCAATCATGTCAGAAAGTTATTCATTGCCAGAAAGTTATTCTAGCTTTGTTGATTTTGTTTTCTATGTGTTTATTCCAGTTGAATTTACTGTCCAAGATAAGACCTAAATATTTTCCTAAATATTTACCTCCAAGGATAGCTAGAGTTTTGTGCTGAAAAGATTTGGGAGATGATTGTTAATCAGCATTCGTTTTTGTGTGAACATTACTAGGACCGTTTTATTTGGATTAACGGTTAATTCATATTCCTTGCACCATTTCTCCACTATACGGAGAACTGCTTGGGTCAGGTGGCACATCATTGTTGCTGTGTACCAGAGACCAGCATTGTCAGGTCATCTGCATAATCTACAGTGCAGAAGTGATTGGTGTTTAATTTGCTGATAAGTTCATTAATGACCATATTCCACAGGAGAGGTGAAATAACCCCATCCTACAGGCAGCCTTCCTTGATCTGGATTATTTGAGATTCACCAGCAATCATTATTGTTCATGTACTGAGCATGTTTACTATCCAATCAATCAGTGCGGGTTCAACTATACATCTACTTAGTGTTCCTTTTAGGAGAAGTTTGTTCTGCCAAAAGCACTTTCTATATTTATGAAGGAATGTAGACATATTACTTTGTTTTGGATGGCCTCTTCAATCTTTGTTATTAACTAGTGAAGTGCTGATTCTGTCAATTTACCTAAGCTGTAGGCATGTTGTTTGTCGTGTAGTGGTAAGTTCATAAGCGCTGATCCCCTTAGTTCTCTTTCACACATCCTCTCCATCGTCTTTAGGAGAAAGGATGTGAAGCTAATGGGTCTGTAGGATTTATAGTCTGTATAGTCGCTCTTACCTGGTTTGGGTATGAATGTGACTTTCACTTCCTTCCATCCCTTAGGAACATACTTAATGACAGCCACACAGGCTCTCATTATGGCAACAAGTTTGACTATAAGGGCTTTACCCCCTCCCACCCACTGTAAGAGTGCCGGAAATATGCCGTCAGGCCCTGCCGCCTTATAGAGGAAGAAACTGTGAATGGCCCAATGGATTCTATCCATCGTTACCTGCTGTTGGTGTCAGAGTATCTTCATGCCAGTTTACCTCCTGATTTACGCATTACGCAGCAACCTGGGAAGTGTGTTTCAATTAGGATGCTTTGGGTCCTATCTGGCGATGATGAAGCAGCAAGTAATAAAGAGTCAGCAACAAAATAAAATAGATCGATAAGGAGCACCAAGTAATTAGTTAGTAATTATTTGTGCACATACTATATTTTTATAAACATTTTAGGAAATAATATAGCAGATATTTTGTTTCAGAGAGTTTTGTGTCCATCGAGTTTCAGAGAGATGGATCCCGGCGTGTTCTATTTAACTAGGATTTTCCTTATCCGATTCGCTTGTTCACAGGTTTCTATGTTACCACAGGATTTATGCCACCCTGTCGAGCGTCGATACGTGATAAATTTGTTGTATTCGAACTTAGCTTTCTTGTATAGTAGCCAGTCTTCATCTATTGAGGTATTCATGGCCCTATTTAGGGCTTTTCATACCTTTTTACGTTTTCTATCTAGTTCTTTACCCCACCACGGTTGCTTTACCGTGTTTCAGCATGCTTTGGTGGAGTGATTTCTGGACATGATTCATGGTAGCTATCCATCATGGCTTTAGTAACAGCTGCTACCCGTTCTGCTAGGAGTGACTGATCTGCTATTGTATTTGTCCCCTCAAAATCCGCAAGCAAAGACGTCAGGTCTATTAAGGCATTTTGTTTAATCCGCCTTGCGGGGATTTCTCCATAGTGGTGTAGCGACCTGTACTACGAAGCAGATCCATCTATGGTCTGAGCATGATGCCTCTTTCGAGACATGCCTTCCCGTAATTAGTTTAGCTGCTCCTGTTGCAAATGTGAGGTCGATTATTGTGCGACAACGTTTCTTTATGAAATTTGGTTCGGAAACTGTGTTTAAAATGGTTAGGTTAGTGCTAAATAGATATTCAACTAACACCTCACCTCGTTCATTGGGTTTTTCCATTCCCTAGAGGGGATGATGCACGTTGGAGTCCGTCCCGATCACAAACTCTAGTCCGGTCCTCTCACAGAAATTCACCAGCCTGACGAGGTCATGAAGGGGAGGAGTGTCTTCCTCCGGCATGTAGACCGAGGCGACGACTACTCTTACCTCCTGTGTGTTTTGTAATGCTACGGCATACATGTTTCTTGAACAGAAATCTGATAATGGTTGTGCACAGATGTCTTCAGTAGTATAAATACATGCTCTAGGCTTGTCGGCGCATTTACTTAACAGAAGCTTATCCGTTCTTGCCTTGAAGACACCCACATTGTAATAGGATGGAAAGAACGATGCTTTTAACTTATCATATAAGAGTATATAAGATGTAGCAAACCTTTTGGTTCGAATGCGTGGTAAGTCAACAACGAAAGGGTGAAGACTGACCAAACGTCTACTGTTCCGATAGTGGAAGGGAGAGGGAGGAATTAAATCATGCAATTCCTGCGCACACTCCAAAATGCATCCTGTAAAAAACCGAAAGGCTGGCTACTTTGCGCCTGTATTCGAGGCTGGTAAGGTTGGTTTTAATCAAATTCGGGTCACCAATAAACCTCTTAGCACACCTTTCCATTGAGTCCAAAGCTACTAGGTGGCATTTTGCAGCATCAGCCTGTATATGGCAGCAATACTCCATGCACGGCCGGACTTGCGCTTTATATAAAGTAAGCAGCTGTCCCGGCGTGAAGTATCGCCGCATCTTTGCAAGGACTCCTAGCTTCTTTGCAGCTGCTTTGGCCTTGGACTCAATGAACCGAAACCCGAAGCTTAAATTTAAGGATATCTCAACCCCCAACAACTGAAGACAATCGGTGTATTCCAGTGATACATTTCGGAAAGAAGGAGCCAAGGTGAGCTGGCTCCTTTTTACAGTGAAGAGACATGCTTGTGTTATGGAGGCGTTGAATTTCACAAGATTGGCACCGCCCCATTCGGAGA